GCCCACGACCGGTGGCCTACTGCACAGTACCCACCATCCAGTGCCCACCGCCCAGTGCCCACTTCCCAGTGCCCACCGCCCAGTGCCCACTACCGTGGCCCAGGTGACACAGCCCTGCTCGCACTGAAGAGGTGTTAGTTAGGTCTAGAGTCAACCAGCGTTTGATCAGCTCTGCCAGTGGCACGGGGACAGCATGGGGGCCGGGACCAAGCTCCAGCGCCGCCCTGGCCTCTCCTCGTCTAGTGCCACTCAGTGTCAGGGAGGCATCTCTTCCCACCCGGCCACCCACCTCCCGAGGAGCCTCCAGTTACCACGTCAGTGCCCACTCGCTCAGCATCTGGGTGAGAGGCCGGCGCACAGGGAGACGTACGGGGAAGCCCAAGCCCTCCGTCTTCAGGAGCCAGCCTGGGAGCCAAGACAGACCCGTGGGGAAGTCACTAGCCGGTTAACTGCCCAGTCGGTGCCCTGTCCTTAGTGCTGAGTCCCAGGAGGGGAGGCACTTGGGCTGGCACCTGGGAAGCCCTGGGGGCAGGTGAGACTGAGCCTTGGGAGAGCAGGCGGGGCCCCAGTGGGCAAACGTCCAGCAGCGGCCAAGGCCTCCTTCTCTTAGAGCCCAGGTGACACCAGGCGGCAGGACAGCTGGGCCGCAGGACTGTCTCCCGGTGACTCTATTTATTTTTTAAAATATATTTGTATTGATTTCAGAGAGGAAGGAAGAGGGAAAGGGAGAAGCACCAATGATTAGAGAGAATCATTGATCGGCTGTCTCCTGCACGCTCCACACTGGGGACTGAGCCTGCAACCCGGGCATGCGCCCTGACCTCCTGGGTTCATAGGTCGGGGCTCAACCACTGAGCAACACTGGCCAGGCCCAGTGACTCACTTTATTTTTTTTTAATATATTTTATTGATTTTTTACAGAGAGGAAGGGAGAGGGATAGAGAGTTAGAAACGTTTATGAGAGAGAAACATCGATCAGCTGCCTCCTGCACACTCCCTACTGGGGATGTGTCCACAACCAAGGTACATGCCCTTGACCGGAATCAAACTTGGGACCCCTCAGTCTGCAGGCCGATGCTCTATCCACTGAGCCAAACCAGTTAGGGCCCAGTGACTCACTTTAGACACAGGGGTTCTGAGTGCCCGTGCGACGCAGGTCTCTTTCACCCCAGGAGATAAAGAAATGGAACTCCAGTGACTCACTTTAGACACGGGGTTCTGAGTGCCCGTGCAACATGGGGTTCTCTTTCACCCCAGGAGATAAAGAAATGGAACTGGCACCTCCTGCCCGTTTGAGGCCGAGGCCCCGCTAGGGACAAACACCAGAGTCAGTTCCCTGTTCTCTGGGAGGTCGCGTGGCCCTGGGGCCGGCTTCTGTGTCTGCACCCTCTGTCCCGGACAGGCATCCACGTCCCTGCACAGCGGCCCTTGCAGAGCCAAGGCTGGACCCCGACCCCTCCTTCAGGGACACACCTCCCTCACCCGGTCCCTCTCCAGAAAAGATGACCATGGTTCTAGAACCGCCCGCCAGGGCAGGCCCGAGCTGAACCCCAGGAGTGCCGTTAAGGGGCCAGAGTGCAGTGGGGTCTGGTCTGAGTGCTCGGGCCTGGCCAGTGGGGTGCCAGGCAAGATGGGGGCTGGACAGAAAGAGCCAAACTCAGTAGAACATAAACTAGCAAAACGGCAACCACAGGACGCTTGTCTTGAACCTGTTCTGCGGTCTTGCTCCCTGCAATTGCCCGGCTCCGGGGTTTATATGAAGAAGCTGCAAGCTCCCTCCTCCATCAGTCATCTCCCTGTCTTCCCTCTTATAAATCCCCTCCCAGGGACTCCAGCTTTGGCCCCCCTGGCGCCCTACAGGCTAGGCTGTCTCCCACCTTTTTTATAGGTTCTCTGCTAAGAAAAACACATTTTCACACTTAATATGCATGCAGGGCAGCCATTATTTTCAGCATTTTAACTTAATTAACAGGAACAATCTGGGTGCAATGTTTGAACTTCAAAGGAGCAGATTCCTCTGCAAGTTGACCTGCTGGTGGACAACTCGAGGGCCAGTGTTGGGCCACGGTGTCTGCGACTCGTGCAGGAGGCACGGGAGAAGGGGGCTGTGGCCTGAGGGAGCTGGGCCATCGGCACCCGGGGCAGAAGCAGGCGAGGGCCATCTGGGGAGGAGAGGGAGGGCGGGTTTGGTGCCATTGTGCTCTGCCCCCTAGGAAAAGGAGCGGAACAAGGAGCAAAAGAAATCGCTGGGCGAACAGCAGCAGTCTGAAGAGGTGGGTCCTCTGGACCCCGAGGAGCTCACCGAGGAGGAAGACAACCAAGTTATCAAGGTGAGTGGACAGGCGGCCAATGCAGAGACACCTGGTGGGCATCCCTGGCCAGCCACCGGACGCGCCAGGGCTCAGCAGCAAGCCAGGGGTCCAGTAGTGAGCCCCATGCGGTGGGGAGGCAGGCCCCGACACAAGACAGTGCACCGTTTCAGGCACCGAGTGAAGGAGTGTCAGAGAGTGAGAGTGGGATTGGACGGGGCAGTCAGGGAAGGCCTCTCGGAGGGGGTGGCATTGCCTTTGAAACCTGAATGACGAGGAGGAGCCCCTCCATGAGAGCAAGGGCAGGAACAGGGAGGCCCTGCTCAGGAAGCACCTGGTGGGTGTGCAGTCTTCAAGGCCAGGGGCCTGAGAGGTAACAGGGCCACAAAGCCTGCTGGGCCAGGGCCACTGGGGGTCCCAAGCAGGGACTTGACTCTGGGCAGCACAAGGGAAGGCAGGAGACTGTCAGGGGGGAGCTGTAGGCCCCGACAGGAGAGAGATGATCCGAGACAGCTTGTGTGAAGACCCAGGCCCAGACCTTCAGCAACAGGTTAGGAGATCCAGACTGTCCGGGCCAGCGAGCCTGGACTGTGTCCAGCACAACTGTAGTTTCACGCTCATGTATTCTGACCATGAATACCCCCGAGCCCTCTGTGTGTATGGCCGGTTCTGGGCCCTGGAGATAGAGCGGTAGACAAAACGGACATGTCGGCTGCCCTCCTGGCACCCTGACTCCAATGGGGGACCAGAAACAGATGCCATGACGGGCAACATTCCTCGAGCCAGATAATAAGCCCACTGTGCCCCGTGGCAGGTAGGATAAGTGTTACAGAGAAACAAAGCAGGGAAAGGAAGGGGGCGGCTGCAATGTAAATAGGGTGAGCAGAGCGGGCTTCATGATTGGGTGGTATTAGTGCAAAGGCTTGAAGGAATGTTTGGGGAAAGAGATTCCAGGCAGAAGCAAGAGCAGTGCAAAGGCACTGGGGCAGGAGTGGGCCTGGTGCATCCAGGGAACAGCGAGGAGGCCGGAGGAGCTGCAGCAGAGGAGGCAGGGGAGAGAGAGGGAGATGATGCAGAATGTGGACGTCATGGGCCATTGTTTGGACGTGGCCTTCACTCTGCTGACTGGGAGTCAGATTCTGAAATATTTTGGAGGTAGAAGCCCACGGGACTTGCTGAAAGAATGGATATGGGATGTGGGAAAGGGGAAAAGAGAAAACCCTTTTTTGGCCGGGACACCAGAAGGATGGAGTTGCCACCCCGGGACGGTGAAGTCTGTGGTTGGCTGCAGGGTGACAAGAGGAAGGTCAGGAGGTCAGAGGCCTGTAAACTGAGATGCTGTTGGCATCTGGTGGAGATGATGCAGGCAGGTGGGTAAGTGAAGTGGGCACTTCAGGAGAGGCCAGGGCTGAGACATCACGTGGGAGTCCCCAGCGATTAGATGGAATTCAAGCCGGGACAGGGCAAGGCCGATGACCGGCGCAGGCAGATGCAGAAGGGAGAGGCCCCCGGACTGAGCGTGAGCACTTCCCTGTGGAGGCCTGGGAGGGAGGAGACGAGTGAGGCCTTGCCAAGGTCACCCAGGGTCGGGGAGAATGGGCTGGACTCCATGCCTCCCGCCTCCCCCGGACTCTGGCCGTGATCTTCCCGCCCCCTAGGTCACACAGCATGCTGTCCCCACACAGTGAGGTCCGACATGTAGCCCAGAGGCTCATCTTGGTGCTGTGGCCCCGCATGGGGTTCCTTGGGCTCTGAGGAGGGAACGGGAGTGAGTCCTTCCACTGGTGAAGGGAGGCTGGCTCGGAGCTGCCCTCTTCCAAGCACCGGGGGCAGAGTTAAGGCACCCATTGAGGTTTCCACGGCACAAGCTACAGCCAATGTAACATCCAGAAGGCTTGGGGGACGGGGGTGGGGCACCTCTCGTCCCCTGTCCACCTCCCTGGAACCATGCTAGGCAGGCCAGGGGCCCTATGGATCGTCCAGCCCGCCTCCTCCCTTTACAGAGGAAACTGAGGCCTGGAGGACAGCCACAGCCAGGGGACAGCATAGGCCGGGCTGGACCTGAGCCCCACACAGGCCGCCCAAGGTTGCCCTGCAGCATCCGAGCCCATTCCCAGCCCCAGGGAGCCGGTGTAGGTGGGAGCTGGTTTGGCAGCAAGACCAGTGAACCAGGAAGCTCTGGGGTGACAGCGAGATGAGTCTCCAGACAGGGCCCTAGGGGCTCACTGTCCCCAGAGTGCCAGAGCAGTAGAGCCTGGTAGGCACTGGCACTGACCCTGGAGACAGGCCCGCTGGGTTACCATTTTATTCCTCGATACTTAGTACCCGTGTGGCCTCAAGCAAGTTATTCAACCACTTCATCCTCAGTTTCCTCATCTGCAAAATGGGGACACTAATGGTCTCTACATCATAGGGTTACCAAGAGGCGTAATAATAATATGCTGAAGGACTTAGGGTGACACCTGGTGCGTGGTGGCATAGCCTCAGGAGAAGGAGAGGTGTGTGTCCCCCACATGAAAAGCCAGGAGAGTCCTGCCAGCCCCACCCCTCCTGTGACAGCTCCCCCAGAGGAGGTGTGCTGATCCTCCTCCCAGGTCTCAGCAACTTCCAGCATCCAGCCCCCTGGTTAGACCGGGGGGCGGGGGGAGAGGGGGCAGAGTGCCCAGCAGGCCCTGGAAGCCCAGAGGATCCCAGAGGATGGGCAGGGTGGGGCCGAGCAGTGGGGCGCCCACAGGGCACCCAGGGGTCCTCGGCACTCCCCCTCTCTCCCTCTCCGCCTCTCCCTCCTTGTTAACTCTGCTATTTCACAGCTCACTGCTCCCGTGGAAATTGAAATGAGGATGAACTCCAGGCAGCTGGAAAAGTACCGGCCGCCGTGGAAGGGCTGCTGAGCGAGTGCTGCCCACCCAGAGCGGTAAGGGCGGCGTCTCCGGCACTGACACCACCCACCCGTGTTAGCATTCCAGGAGCCAGCGAGCGGTCTGAGCAGGGTTTGGGGACAGCAATTCGCTTTCCTGCTTTGCACCTGAGAACGAGCTGTTTTCTCCCACAAGCGTGCCCTCCCCTGCGTGGAGGAGGCTTGATGGCTGTGGCGTCCAGGAGCCCAGCCCCCAGCCAGGGCACCTCCCACAGTGGCTCAGGCCCGCCTCCCAAACACCTTTCTGGTGACAACCCACCAGCCCTCCCTGGTTCAAAACCCCACTGAGCTGCTGGTTACTCTGAGGAAAACAATGCAGTCTGGCCGCAAGCCTGCATTGTGTTCATCGTTCTGCAAATCGCAGTCCTGAGCCCCATTTGGCCTTGCCCAGCCCAAGGTCGCCCCAGTTACTTGGGCAAAGCTAGGTCTCTGTGACAAACAGCCACTAATTCCTTCTCACGGTCCCAGGAGCAGGGAAGGCAGTAAAGGACAGGGAGGCTAAATGACTTGCCCCAGGCTACAGAGAGGGTAGAGGTGGGGCTGGCTGAGCTGGCCAAACGCCTGGGGGGTGCCCCTCCTCCCTGGGGTGCAGGCAACTTTAGAAGGTGGTTTCATAAGCTCCCGGGGACCTGCTGCCACTACTCAGCTGCAAACCTTGATTTTCTCCAGCAGCCAAGTGACCTCCGCTCTGCTCCTGGGAGAACTGGCCGCTGAGAGCCTCCATGGAGGGCTGCATGGCCGGCAGCTGGGCTTGGGAGCAGGGCACCCGCTCCCCAGCAAATCCCTCTGCAGCAAATAAAGCATGAAATATACAGAAACGACTCTCTTATTTAATATCTTACTATCCAAAGGTCAAACTCAGGTCAAGCCATGGGGGGAATGAAGTTCTGAGGGAGATGCATACATTAGCAAGTCATGGGACTTGTCTACGTTCCATATTCCAATATTCACTTAGGCCACATAATTGGGAGATTTGCACTGGCTCTTCCACGACTGGTGAGGAAACTGAGGCCCAGAGAGATGGTGTTTTGTCCACACAGGAGTCTGTGGCTGAGCGAGGACTGGAGTCAGGGCTCCTGCCTCCTGATCCGTTTTCTGTTTACCAGCGAGGCCAGGTCTAATGGGCCAGCGAGTTTGAAGGCCTCTGCACTCAGCCCCTTACTGAGTGGCCTCCAGCTGGTCTCTTACTCAATGAACCTTTGCAAAAGCAGTGGCAGTAGCCACTGAGCTGGGGGCATGGCGCACCAGCAAAGAGCAAATAATCGTTATTATCCCTGTGAGTGCACGCTGCCACGGCCGCAGCACATACACAGCCCCCCACTTAGCTCTGCCTCCTAAACACAACTAGATGGATGTTCCATTCCAACGTCATTTTACATTAATGAATGTTCACTTACGTATAAGCCAGGGCCATGCAGGAACCATCGGCCACCAGCAAATTAGGCACAGTGCCATTCCACGTCTCCACCCACCCCACCGCACTGCGGGGGCGGAGCCACGGGTGGCAGTTACTTAAGAAGGACCCTCCCCTGGGTGCTCTGAACGCTCCGAGGAGCACCCAAGCCCGCTGAGGGCACATTCAGTTCCCAGTGCACAAACCACGAAGCCCAAGCGCAGCTGCAGGGTCCTGGGAAGTGCCGCCAACGCCAGGCAACGAATGGCGCCAGGGCCGCAGCGGCAGGTGGGAGAGGAAGAGACGCCACGTAATCAGCTGGTTATTAGTAATAGGAAGGAGCAAAGGGGAAGCCAGACATTGCAAGCGTGGCCATCTGGGCAGCTTCACAGGTAGCTGCAATTTCACACCCCAGGGACCCACGGCCCGGTCCCCGCAGATCACCGGGGAAGGGACCCAACTACGGGGAGATGGACACAGGCACGGTGAAGCGGGATGACAGGGGAGGATGCCTGTCCATCACCCTGGGCACAGAGCTGAGGGCCAACGCCAGCCGTGGGAATACATAATCCCTAGACAAAGGCGCTGGCTCTCCGGGCTCTTGGCGACCTGGCTCTTGGCTCTCTGGTTCCTTGGTTTTGCTCCTGCCCATGTTCCCTCCATAGCCACGCAACGGTCTGATGAGCTGCAGTGGGGACCCAGCTGGTGCTGGGCTGGACTGCGCCCCCACGTGGGGCGGGAGCTCTGGACAACGCAGTAACTCCGGCCAGACTGAAGCCACAGCTTCACCTCTCCCGTGGCGGGACAGAGGGAAATGGACCTTGGAGACTCAGGCTAATTCACAGAAACAAGCTTTCTACAGTCCTGCACCCTCCCATGGGCCTATGGAAACGCTTCTTCTAGCAGCACGTGGGGCACAGGCGAGGAGGCAGTCGCTGCAACCACATCCGCGTGACTTTATGGTCCTGAGCCACGGGACGTGCCGTGAACGTGGACAGATAAAAGCAGAGGAAGAGAGGCACAGGAACCTTAAAGCTGCACTGGGAGGAGCTGAGTCCAAGACCCCTGGCCTCCAAGGGCCGTGCCAGCCGGGCAGTGTCTGTAACTCACGCCAAGAAGGAGGAAGCTAAGTGCTCAGTGTCCCCCCACGGGGAAACGGGTTTCACGTGTTCCTCCCGGCTGCTCAGGCCTGCCCTGCTGTGGGCCACGCCCCCTCACCATCAGGGGTGCCCATCTCTGGGCTGGGGCCCCAGCACCCTCTGAGGAATCTTCTTTAGGATCCTGGGGTGGAGAGCAGCCTTGGAAAAGGTGCCGGGAGAGAGCTGAGGCCCCAGGAGAGTTCGCCCAGGGAGCCTGCATCCGTTTGTGGTAGGAACATGGGAACGGGGTCAGCAGGCGCAGCCCTGGGAGCGCGAGGGCGAGGGGGCCGCCTGCTCTGCGGAACAGCCCTGCACAAAGCCCAGGAGCAGCCGCTCGTGACCCTGTCCCCGCGACCCTCTCCCGTGGCCCCCGAGGGCGCTGCGTAGGAGCTGCCACCCTGGCCTCTGTACGCGCTGTGCCCAGGGCTGTACAGAGGTGCCGGGTCCTTTCTTCCCTTTTCCTCCTCCCACACTGTTCACTTTCTCACCATCGGCAATAACCCTTCCTCCCAGCTCCTCCCGTTTCTAGGACAGCAGAGCTTGGGCTTCAGGGCCTGCAGAGCCGGGAGATTAAAATTGGGGAAGGCTGGGGGGCTTCTGTGAGCTGAGCCCAGAGGACATGCCCCCCTACGTCTTGAAAAGAGAAGTAAGGGGCCCGCCCTGGGGGAAAGCTCCGGGTGCCTGGGCCTGGGCGGCGCCGGGTCAGGTGGGGAGGCCCGAGGACCGTGGCCGCCGCCCTTTGTCTCGCTCACTGAGGGCCACCCCACACCATCGGCAAGCTCTCTCCAATTCCGGAGAGCGACAGATGGCCGTCTGCCAGTGGAGTGGACGGTGCACACGGCAGGACTGCGGGTGATGGTAGGGACCTGACCCGGCTGCACAGGTGCAGGCGAGGAGGCAGTCGCTGCAACCACATCCGGGTGACTTTATGGTCCTGAGCCACGGGACATGCCGTGAACGTGGACAGATAAAAGCAGAGGAAGTGCCTGTTGCCCGTACGCTGTCATTTAGCAGAATCCAATCACCGACAAAGCCCAAGGGAAACGGTTTGGAAAGCGTTACGTTTCTCTTCCCGCAGCCTCCGTTCCTGACCCCGGATGTACCCACGCCTGGGCAGGAACGCCGCCCCACAGGCAGCGAAGTGCGAGGGGCCGGAGAGTGAGAGCTTTGTTCCCTTGTCACCTGGAAAGCAGTGACAAACTGCCCGTTAAACCCATTCTGGGGTTGCTCTCTCTGCCTGTCACTGACCCAGAGACGGAAAGGGCCCTTCACTCCCACACGCAGAGGCAACAAGATGTAGGGCAGTGCGGGCCCTTCCAGTCCCTCCTGCTCAGCCACACTGTCCCCGCGCCGCCCAGTGACGCCTCCGCGCTGGGTTTGAAGGAAGCCCAGAATAGCTGAGGGACGTGCGAGGCCAGCAACGAGGTCGATCAAGGACAAGGCCCTGGTCCGGAGCGTCTTTAAGGACCTGATAAATGCGAGCAGGGCTGGGGAGGAGGAGGGGGAGGAG